CACCAAGGCTGGTTTAAACACTAGTTTTTGAGTTTTTTTTCGCTTTTTCTTCTTTTACACGTGTTCGGAATTCATGTAGGGCTGATCCGGAACGATCAAAATTTGAATTCACTGATTGGCTATTTTCTTTTTAGGAGTTTGTATTACCGGCATAAATAAGTAAAGCCGGGGACAATTAGGAACAGTGCGATTCACGTGATATTACTAAAACCACTAACCCTAACTAACTATTCATGTGATTTTGAACTGTCCCTAAGAACTGTCCATAGATTGTCCGGGTAGTTCTTCTAACGTCGCCTATCACATGACAAATATTAAAATTCATATAACTTAAAAAAATTAGACAACAAAATAATAACGATAAATAATAAATTAATCATTTTATTTATTTCAAATAACTCAATAAACGTAATATTTACTACAGACAGAAAGTATTATTATTACAGTTTTTCTAAGTATTTGGAATATTCCATTACCTTTTAAAATGGTTATAATTCTCTAATTTATGCAATGACACAAAGTTTTTATTAATACTATCGAGTCATTTGTTACTATTTGGATTCATTATGTTTTTTTTCAATAATTTTTTGTTGCTGGGTTCTGGATTCAAATAAATAATCAGTTATAATCTTCTGGAAAAGAATTAAAAATAAATCTACAAGTTTTCTGGTGCAATTGCATTGTCTTTATTAATTTATTTAGAATTTCATTCTTTTTTCATTTATTGTTAGTGGAAATTTGGAACATGTCTTTTTAAAATAGTGTGTTTAGTGGATTTCATGCTTTTAACGATTGCTTTTTACTTTAAAGAATCGAAGAAAAAAATCACACTAAATGGTATTTTAATAAGGGAATTGCTATTTCCACCCCCTATTTTTGCTAATGCCACCCCTTCGCTTAATCTGATTGGCCTCCACATTCCTAACCCTAATTCTTAATTAGGGTTAGACTATATAAAGGGTGGCATTGAATTGACTATATCACATGATTTTCGAAACTTGCTCGGTCGGTTTGTGACCAACCAATCAAAATGATGCAGACACAACTTCACATGACAATATAACCACAAAATTTACGGTAACGAAAGACTGAGAAAAACCATGTCAATCTAATTGTAAGTGTATCCTCTATTTTTCGCATCTATAACATAACGCATGTACTTCAAGAATTTCCATTAATAGCTTGTCTTTAATTCAGGCACAACGTTATAATGGTTGAAGAGCAAAAACAACTTTATGACGCGATCTTTGACAGCGACGAGAGTGATAGAGGTGCTTTTCGATCGCCAATGCCCTGTCACGTCCTAAATTCAAACCGAACTCCCTATCCGATCCATAATGGTGACATAGTCGCTGCCTCAGCCTTTTCTACTCCACCATATGGCGTATTTCCCTCTCAAGTTCAGCGAGAGGTAGCAAGTCGGAATCTTCTCCTTACAGGAAATCCTTTTCTTGCTCAAAACTATGCATACCATTTTAAATCACTCGAGAATTCAAGTTCATCACCAAATCTGGCGGAATATGGTTATCCTTTTTTTTTTACACCCCAGATGTCACCCCATATGTCAACTCATATGTTACCACATATGTCACCCCATATGTCACCCCATCCAGGTCCTAGTTTTATGTCTTCTACACCTCTCACTCCACCTTCATCAAAGTTTTTACGTCCACTTCCAAGAAGACCTGACAGTTCTCCATTTGAATTATATGGTTTACGGACTGAAAGTTGTAGTCCATCAATTACAATAGGAAAAGACAATAGTAATGTATCGACTAAATCATGTCAAACGGATGGTTATGAGAATGATCAAGATAAACATCATTCTATATCAAATTGGTACTTGAGATGCGTTACTCTGACAGATAATAAAAATTCCTTTCCACCTGGAACAGATGTATGGATTATACTCTCTGGTGTTCTTAAAAAATCTGGAGGTCAAAATCGCCGATGGCATTCGTCACTCATTCTTGATAGGATAGATCAAAATTTAGTAAAGACTGATAAGAACAATTTTTATAAACTTGAAGGAGAGATATCAATTCAAGATATGATAACTAATGGTTTTTCACAAGAATTGTACGAAAACTTTCAGAAGGGATTTCCTGAGAATTGGAAAGAAATTTTGCATGATGAATTTAAAAGTGCGTGGTTTTCAGACTATATTATACCATTAAATGAAGAAGGGGATGTAAATGTGTCAAATGATATTATTGAAAACAATGCCAAGAATCATACTGATTGTGAGGATTCTAATGATACTACAGATAATGATTATTCTAATGATACCACAGATACAAAATCAGATAATTCTGATGATAATTATCCTATTGTACAAGTGATTATTGATAATTCTAATATTGACATTCAATTAGATGATTTTGACGATAATCATGAAGCGCAGCAACAACCGAACTTGAACGATTCTAATGAGAATAACGAGGAGATACAATTGGACTTGAACAATTCTAATGAGAATAACGAGGATATACAATTGGACTTGAACAATTCTAATGAGAATAACGGGGGGTTACAATTGGACTTGAACAATCCTAATGAGAATAATAAGGAGCTACAATTTGACTTGAACAGTCCCAGTGAGAATAACGAGGATATACAATTTGACTTGAACAGTCCCAGTGAGAATAACGGGGATATACAATTTGACTTGAGCAATCCTAATGAGGATAAAGAAGAGCAACAATTGGGCTTGAATGATCCTAATGAGAATAATAAGGATATACAATTGGACTTGAACAGTCCTAGTGAAAATAATGAGGATCTCCGATTTGACTTGAACAATCCTAATGAGAATAACGAGGAACTACCGTTGGACTTGAACAATCCTAATGAAGATAAGGAAGAGCGACAATTGGGCTTGAATGATCCTAATGAGAATAACGAGGATATACAATTGGACTTGAACAGTCCTAGTGAGACTAATGAGGATCTCCACTTTAACTTGAATAGTCCCAATGAAAATAACGAAGATCTACAATTTGACTTGAACAGTCTCAGTGAAAATAACGTGGATATACAATTTGACTTGAACAACTCTAATAAGAATGATAAGGATCTACAATTTGACTTGAACAGTCCCAGTGAGAATAACGGGGATATACAATTTGAATTGAACAATCCTAATAAGAATGATAAGGATCTACAATTTGACTTGAACAATCATAATAAGAATGATAAGGATCTACAATTTGACTTGAACAATCATAATAAGAATAACGGGGATCTACAAATTAACTTGAATAATCCTAATAAGAATAACGGAGATCTACAATTTGACTCGAACAATCATAATAAAAATAACAGGAAGCGACGATTATATTCTAATAACAAAAGTGGGAAGCAGCGCTTAGAGTTGAATAAAACCCCCAAACAGACAAAATCAGAAGCTGTTACAATAACATCTTCTGGTCGCCGTATTCGTAGGCCAGGTTCTTGGTGGGTGATTCGCCCTAAGATTGAGAAATAGGGATGGTACAGTTAGTTTAGGCTTGGTTTAGGTTCTAAAACCTTTAGGTTCCAAAATTAAAAACCTATGAATCAGGTTTTTATATTAACAACCTCAAGTTAAACCTGGTTTGGTTCGGAACCAAATTTTAAAACCTGGTTCCCAATATTTTGTAAGATAAAAAATAATAGAAATATATTAATAAAAAGTTAAATTCGTATCAAGCTTTTAATCTCCTAAATAACTTTACCTAATGTGCTAATTATAGTTGGCACGTGCCGTATTTTTTGCCATAATTGGCGTAATTATAAATACGGAACTAGAGTTTGGAACCGGTTTTATTTTTCTTTTGTTAAATCCGATTAAAACCGGTTTTAACATAAGAAAAATAAAACCGGTTCCAAACACTATACGGAACCAAAATTAAGCATATCGACTAAAAGCCCGGATCTAAAACAGATCGTATTAAGTAATACCGAAACGTTTCGATACATACCGACCCAGAATTTTACGGCAATTAGATGCTATACCGTAATTAATTCTACATATGGTAGAATGCCGTAATGCCATAATTCAGTAATTCTACCACCAACTATAGTGCTAATATTGATTTATTGAGTAAAAGTAATATTATGGGTAGCATAGCGGGCTTTCATTGTAATTGGCTGATTTTTGTAGATCATCCCGTCACATGGAAAAAATATTATTGGTTAATCGAAATCATTCGCAAGATTTAAAAACAATTAATAGCTAAATATTTAAATTGGCGTGAATAAATGCATTACTACGAAATCTCAGCAACTTTAAACTTATATCCAAAGTTTTACTAAAAAAATACTACTGTACGAATTAAAGAAAAATAAAAAAAAATAAAAAAGAAAATAAAAAAATTAAAAATAAAAGAAAATAAAAAAGCTAAAACCTATTATTTAAGGTAATAAAAAATGTATAAAAAAAATTTAATTATATATAATATTAATCAACTAATACTACTGAATTATAAACTTAATTTTAAATACAAAAATACAGATAGATTTCTTTAAGAACATATTCTTTAAATACATGGCTTTTTTAAATGCATTCTCAATTTTTAGTCCAAACATATTTCTAACTTACAGTTTTTCTTATTGTTCTCTAATACTTGTTATTAAAAGTTTGGTTTTTATGCATGCATCTAAAGAGATTGTAATCTTAGACATGGTATATACTTATAGTTAATAATAGAATTTATTTGACAAATTAATATAATTACATATTTTTTAAGTCATATTATTGTAACTGTAATATTATAATTATTATGTCATAACTATAATATTGTTATATCAAAATACAACAATGTTATTGTATTTAAATAATATAATAATACATATTGTATTAAAATAGTATAATGCTGTAATAATAAAAATGTGGTAACCTAGTAAATGATCAAGTTGTTAACCTTCCAAGTAGTAGGTTAGATATTTAAATCTCATCGATAGTGAAAATTTAGATAATTGTTTATGTAATATTCATATTATGATAACTGTTACTAACAATTGAGTTAGAATATTTATAATAGTGATTGCACTAGCATGACTAGCAGGTCATAGAGCATCTATACAATGTTAGAGTTATATAGAGAAATACAAACTAACAACTAGATGATGCAAATACTAGATAAGTTCTTGTGGTTATATAAATTTATTAAATTAGATAACAAAAAGTCTATTTGAAAAGACCTAAATAGAGAGATAACTGGATTTTTGATGATACTACTATAAAGACTAGTATAAAGAAACAAATATCAAGGTCTTAGTAATCAGATAAGCAAGAATCTCAGAGTTGGGAGTCTTGAAGGTATCATCAACTAGGCTGTTAAAACAAATTAAAGAAAAAAGATATTAGGTTGATCTAATATATTAATAGATTAGTTGTTATAATTTTACACAGACTATTTGGATTAAAAGTCTAATAAAATTTAAAAATATACTAAAATATTAGAGTTATATTATAAAGTAGATGCTAAGGTCTGAATAAACTTTACAAGAGCATAGTGGTTTAATAATTAAGTTCTAACTGTAAGTGTTAGTTCTAATATAGTGATATCTAAATCAGTTATAAAAATAGATACAGAAGGCTTTGAGAGTTTATCTTAAGAATAAAATATTTTAAATTGAAACAATGATCTGAACATCTGAGTATGACCCAGTAAGTTAATACAGATTACAGGTTCAGAGAATTTAAAATAAAACATCCAAGCAGAGGTGTTAAGTATGACAATTAATAAGAAACCTTTGAATAAACTTCTTAAATAGATAATATAAAAAAGTTATATATATAGCTAATTGTATGCTCTTCTGTAGTAGTTTATAAAATCATATTACCAAAAAATCATTAATAAAAATCAAAAAACCAAAGAGATCATCTTAATACCAAAAAAAAATATTATTATTATAATAATATATATATATTTTAGTTAAAGTTTCTGTTTTTAGAGATTATTATTTTTATTTAATTATTTGAATATAGATACTTTCAAAAATATCTATTTATAGAAGATTACAACTAGTCACATATATATTTTTAGTGCCTAATTTAAGTAGTTTACCTATACATTACTATACAAGTTCTATACTAGGTGCTATACCTGCAAGTTAACTATAGGTCTTGCTTATTTAAACTCTCTGCATATGTACTTTAACTCATATTATAGTAACATCTTTAGGGTTACATTTATTTAAAATATTTGATATTTTTAAGATTCTTAAAACTACTTTATTTTTAACAGAAAACTTACTAAAACCTTCTGTGTTTTATATACAACTGATCTAGTTTTATGTAATACATTATAGTTATCAAATACTTATAGAGGTTATCTGTTTAACTATTACATTATACTATTTTTATCTTTATAAAGTTTACTAGAATTCCAGTATCTATCATTATAACATCTTTTTTATTATCTTTTACTAATTACTATTTAGAATTAATAGAACTTTTCTGACTTCTAATCTAAATAGTTTGGTATAGTATACATATGTATCCATTTTTTTTAACAATTTTAGCAACTTGGTTAGTTATATGCTTTTCTATATATCTTGTTATTTGGTTTATTTGTCTATTTTTTTAAAGATGCTTCATAGACTTTTATTAATCTAACTATATTGTTAAAAGTTTATACTATCTTTTTACTTGAGAATTTTTAAGTAGATTTCTAATTTTTTGATTTTTTAGTTTATTGTATTTGGTGGTTTTATTATGACTTTGCACCAAAGCCTTATATAACACTAGTTATATATTTCTTTATGTATATAGAATGTTATATTTTGTATAGATATTCTGAGCTTCTATTTGAAATAATGTGACTTAAGGTTACAAATACACTAATTTAACTAATTATCAAAAGATATTTTATTATAATATAGTTATAATTTTCTAAATTTTATTATAGGTAAAATTTAAACACTAGATCTGTCACTTAAGAGATTGTTACTTAAGAGATAACAAACCAACTATTATACTATGATTATTATCTCTTATATTGTAATAATATAAACCAGTTTTTTATTTAATATTGTTATAAATAAATTTTAAAAATAGAATATTACATAGTAAAAAGAAGATTAGTATTTTATTATTTATTTTCATTTATTAAATTATTAAAATAATCTTAAAAAAGTTTTTTAAGTTTAAATTATTCTTAAAAATTAATTTTAGATTTAATTAAATAAAATATTTTTTATTAATATGTTGTAAGATATTTAGTATTAATACAAATTATATACAAAAAACTTAAGGCTTATTTGATATTAAATAAATCTAATTTAATTATATTTGAGTTTTATTAAAAACATTACTAAGAACAAAGTAATAAAATTATAAAATATATAATTTATATAATATTTTAAATAGGATTTATTTATAAAATCTTAAGTTAAGACCTGCAGATCAATAGTGCAATGGTTAGCACTCCCAGGTTGCATTTGCAAGTTGTCAGTTCAATTCCAACTGGAGAAAAAAGCTGTGCCAGGACCACAATTGTTATGATCTTAAAGGAATTTCTTACTTCTACTTTCAGACAAGAATATTACAAAAATGAATGATCTATGGGGATTGCCTACTTCCAATTTCAGACAAAGTATTACAGCAAGAACAAGTCAAGTAACATAGCCACAGAGTTATATGACACCCAGATAAGAAGATAATTCAACAAGAAACATTGATAACATAAGGATCCCAGATTAGAAAATTATTGTAAAAGGCAATAGAAATAAGGAAACGAAATCTAGAAGGACCATTGTTGATAGGGAACTGCAGACTTGAGTAAAGGGTCCTACACCATAGGGCCAGAGACCTGGATTATCACAATAGTGATAAACTTGTTAATAATGTAGTATAGTGAGGCTAGAGAACACCACTGGTGATGTACATAACAACTAAATATGTAAACCTGTAGATTCTAAACATTAAAGTTAATAAAGAAAATTAGAGCACCACATGCACCTCATGATGTAATGCATTGGAGATAGTTAAAAAAAAAAAAATCTTAAGTTAATTAGTATATATAATTTATTTATTTTTTTTTTTTAATATTAAGTTAAGTATATACGATCTAGAATTTTATTGGTAGTTTAGTTGGCTAGCATCTGTTGATATAATAGTACAAAGATGATTATAAAAAGAGTGTACAACTAGCCACTCATACAACTTTAGTTATTGTTTAATTTAAGTAGTTTGCTTAAAGGTTTTATACTAGTTGCTATACCTAGAACCCACCTGTAGGACCTCTATTTAAACACTTTGATTTTGTATTCAATACACTATACTAATAACTCTGGTAAACTGATGAAGATATGCTATAATTACTAAGTCATGTTTAACTTTGTACTAAACCTACTAATGCATTCCGTATTCTATACTTACAGCTTATCTAATATTACTTTAGCCTAAACCATCATTTGCAATCAGAGCTAATCATTAAATCGCTTTTACCCTTGTAAGGTTCATCCAAAACCCCAGTACCTATCTTTCTAACATCCTCT